TAATCTGAGGACAGGAAACAGGGAATTAAAGCCGTTTGGAAAGGGAGATGAGGAGATCGGGGTTTAAACCCGAGTCCCGATGAGAGGGAAGGCGGTAAAGAAAGGAAGGAAGACACAGAGAAAACAAAACTCCACCAAATCCTGTTTAATCCTCCATTTATTTGTCAAAATGTTGCAGGAAGAATCACGTTAAAAGTTCATGTCTTATTATTAAAAGCACAAAAACACACACACATGGTAAACAGCTGGCTATAGTCCCAACGGCCCACGTCCCATCATGCTTTGCTGCCGGCGGCCCGCTGGGCCTGGGTCGCCACGGTGGCCACGGCGGACAGCGGCGTGGAGTAGGTGGACGCCATGCTCTGGAGGCCGGTCAGCAGGCAGCGCCAGCCCAGCCGCAGGGCCCCGCCCACGTTCTGCACACAGAGAGCCCGTTAGCGTTAGCTTTAGCCTTAGCAGTCCCCAGACTTAGCCCCGGGCTGGTGCAGCTCCCCAGACTTAGCCCCGGGCTGGAGCAGTCCCCCAAACTTAGCCCCGGGTCTGGAGCAGTCCCCAAACTTAGCCCCGGTCTGGAACAGCTCCCCAAACTTAGCCCCGGTCTGGAGCAGTCCCCAAACTTAGCCCCGGTCTGAGGCAGTCCCCCAAACAGACCCCCCGATAGCTTTAGCTTTAGCAGTCCCCAGACTTAGGCCCAGGCTGGAAAAGCTCCCCAAACTTAGACCCGGTCTGAGGGACTTTTCTACTTATGTCCACCACTAGTGGGGTTGGAAAAAGCAATTATGTATTTTCATACAATATTCAGACATTATTGAACTTACTTGGAAGACTTGTAATAATTTTTTAACAACTAGCTGTGAATACATCCCATTAAACATCAGTTCTGAAATTAAGTCACACCTGGTGAAACCCATTTTATTACTTTTTGTATGTTTTATGCCCAGTAAATCAGAATCCCACCACTTGGTGATGGTCTGAGAGGGGGTTAGTGGGGGGGTTCCTCACTAGGTGGCGCCGATGAGTTATTCCGGGTCAGTCTGAGCGTAAACAGTAAGACGCACGTTCCTCCCTAAATGTGTCGGTTTGGGACCTGCTTATCTGGGTTTGTGCCGGACAACACAGTAAACTGTGCCCTGTTTGGGGTCAAAGGTCAGGCTCACAGCCGGGTCAATGTTTGACAGCGTTATAGAGGAGGAAATAAAGTCTGCAGGAATGTGGTCAGAGATAAATAGAACACACACGTGTTCAGGGGAAATGTCAGACACTCTCTGTGTTTTTTTTAGTTAAATTAGAACTTCACTTTAATCTTTAAATCACTTTGACGCTGACATAGTCAATAAAAAAAACAACTGGGTGCTTCATTATGCCAGTTATCAGGCTCAAAAACACAAAAAGGCTGTTTTCCTTCTACCTTTTTCACAAACTCTAATTTTATCCACGTTCTGCCGCCTGATTTTTATGGAACTAATTAATTTATAATGCTGTTTTACATTATGTTTAAGAATGTAGAAGAGATTTGTTATGGTAAGTTTTAGGATTTGTATCTAAAGGCTTATTTTTAGATGTTAATATAACCTAATTTCTTCTTCTTCTAACAGATGTCATCAGGAGTGTGTGTACGTTTTGTGTAGGTGTGTGTTTAGAAAGTCCTCCCGCCTCTTCAGGTTAAAGGTCATCGTGTTCTTACCTTTCTGTACTTCTTGAACCTGGTCTTCCTCTTCCTCCTCTTCTCCTCCCTCCTCTTCTCCCTCTCCTCCCGGCTCTCGTCCCTCTCCTCCTCCTCGATCAGAGGCTGGTACTTATCGGGCAGCACGCAGAAATAAACCTCTTTGGAGGTTTTCTGGGGCTTCCTCCCGGCCGCTCCTCCCTCCTCCTGCTCCTCCGCTCCCATCCCGGCCGATTCTCCTCTGGATCTCCACACTCCTCCACGCAGGAGGACCTTTGGAACCAGGAGGAGTCAAACTTTATTAGCAGCCCGCGGCTCCCTGCGGAGCCAGAAGCGGCCTAATCCCAGGCCGGATCAGGGAAGAATGTGGAGACTTGGGGGGAGTTTGACTCACCTGAGCTTCTGATGTTTGATTATCTGCTGTTTGTCTTACAGAACAAACACAAAAACAAGTCCTGCACGAGTCCCGCCGGCAGTCTTTGAGTGAGAACTAACGAGGAATTCCCAAAACCAGAGAACTGGGGCAGGATCCAGCTTTTATGGGTTAGGTTCCCAGTCCAGGCTGGATCCTGGAGCCTGTGGCCTGAAGTTTGTTGGTGTAAAGATGGTGAAAGGGGACAGATTCTGGCCTCCTGGTCCGGCTGCCGTCAGCAGCTTTAGCTCGTGTTGTTTTATGACCTCGTGTTGGACTTTTTGTCCTGGTCTGGACCTGATATTGAACTGTCTGATCCAGCATGCTGCTCCTGACCCAGATCTTAGCTGCTTCAGCAGCTCTGGGGGCTGGACTTAGGACCTGACGTTTGCTTTTTACTGGGATTTTTTTTAACCTTGATCTTGTTTGTTTTGACTAAAAAATTCGAGCTAAACTTCAACTGAAGCGAGGGCTTCCTGCTCTTAGCTCAGAGCTGAGGCTTAATATTCTCAATCCTCACCATTATCTCGTCGGTTTTTGTTAATTAAGGCATCTGAGGTCTTTCTGGAGCTGACTTTGGACCGACCTGGGCCTCGTCCGGCTGGAGAGCTCAGCTCCTCACAGGTAAACTTCAGATTCGACAGGATTCAGAAACAAATGAAACACTGTTGGGAGCTTAAGTCAGACAGAGCCCGGGGCAGCTCCTGTTTACTCGGCTTTTGTTTTTTATTCAAACAGCAATAAGTGGGGCTCAGATCCTCACCGGGCCCAGAGGCAAAAAAACAAAGAAAGGAAACACAATATCCCAAAGTACCCACCTGAAGTCTGGAGCTGGCCCCTGAACACTTTCATAGTGGGGGTTTATTTACTGGTTTTAAAAGCATACTGTGTCTCCCCGACATTTAGCTCACTCAAAAAGCTTCAGTGAGCTCTGAATTCATGGAGGGAACTTGGAATAAATACAGACGGTGTAACGTTTAAACGTCCTGGAGCTGCAGAAGTCCCTGTTGGCGGGTAGTGTGTCGCCCCCCCCAGAGGAAGCTTCAGGACGCCTTCTGATGCTTCCACAATCTCTGGCCCTGAAACGAGAGAAAACATGGAGGGTTTCCTCTTATTTCAGGGGGAGACTCCAGACCCTTTTTGAGTCCTCAAGCTGATGGTTTGCTGCTTTACTTTTCTCATTGATTGAAATAAGAATTTTCAGAACCTGAGACATTTTTTCTGAGCTAAAATGAGGTTTGGGGCCTCATTTTAACCCTATAATGCCAAATGTATCATATTTGATACATACGGTTTCTGAAATGTTTTGCGTCTGACACCTTTTGCATAATTTAATGGTAAAAACTTTGCTCAAAATCCTATTGTTCACAATCAGATACACCTGATAACAGCGGGCAGAAGACTACACAAAAAATTATCTTGAATTATCGCATAGTAATAAATGATTAATATCAAAAATGTATTTCTGTTTTTTCTTTTTACATATTTTGTTAAAAGGGCAAAAAAGGAATTCAAACCAAAAAAAAGTAAATTTCTGTTTTGTTTTATTCTTGGATCAGGATTTAGAGGGTTAAACTTCTCTGGGAACTTGAGCTGGTTCTGCCTTTGGTTGCATCTGATATTGAGCTTTTTCAAGGGGTACTGGAGCATGATTTGCTCATTGGTTAGTTAGGGGGGGGTCATTAAGGGGGGATGGGTCACTAGTTAAGTGGAAGAAGTCCTGTTGGTTTCCTGCTTTGGGATCAGTTGTGAATAAAAAAATACACACTTGTCTACAAATAGGAGTCAGGTTTGGTTTGAGCCTGTGAGGTTGTTAAAAGAAATGTGAGTTTTACATTGGTTTACACGTTCTATTTTTGGAAATGAGAGTTACAGACGGGTTTACTCGGCCCGGGTGGAAAATTACAGTGAAGAGAAGCCCACTCACACACACCGGCTGGCTACTGGAAATGTCATGTCACAGTTTGTGACAGGAAGTGGGTGTTCGGTGTGTGTCTCTGTGTGTGTTTTCTCCGCGGGTGTTTGCGGGGCGATAACAGGAATTTGGTTTCGGTGGTTTTCATTCGCTCAGCCTGTAGTTT